GCTTACAAGCGCCAAGATACCCGCATCAATGCCGTCACACATCCCCTCGCCGGCACGGATCGCGTCGTCGTCGCAGAGTTTGTCCCGTTCAACTGACCCCGCGGGAAGGGCACACCTGTGATGTTGAATCCGCGACAAGGGAAGGCGCAACCGAGAAGGGCAAACAAAAACACTCAAACACACCACACAGAAACAGACACACACACACACGCACAAAAGTTGAAACTCTCCTTTTTTTCTCTTTCGCTTGAACGCGTACAGAGCGGCGGGAGAGGGGTGTGGCCCTTACCATCGACTGTGTGATGACAAAGCTCGGCTCGAGTTTTTTAGCATGCAACCCCCCCGTTCATTTCTCTCGTGTGAGTGTCGAGACTAGCTGTCTTTTATTCACGTTTTTGTGCGCAAGAACAGGAGACAGAGAGAGGTAGAGAGCGAGAGAGGAAGAGAGAGAGGAAGAGAGAGATAGAGAGAGAGAGAGAGCAGATGCCTGGAATCACGAGCAACGGCTAATTTCAACGCGCCCCTCGTTGGCCTGCATGGTCCATGGTCCATTCTTGTGCCGTTTCTTGCGGTACATGCAATGCTTGTCAAGTCTGGCCATCGGGCGGTCCAGAAAATGCACATTCGCCAAATCAGGAGTGGAACATGCACTCGGCTGTGTGTGTTTCACTTGTCTCTGTCACCAGTCTCCTTTCTTCTTCTCCTTTCACTTTTCTCCCCTATGCTTAACGCAGCACTCCTTTTTCATTCTCATCTCTTCTTCTCTTTCGACTATGCCGCTTGCCCTACTTGCATGCTCTGCCTGGTGCGCAATGCAAATTATGCTCACCGACAACCGTGGCCGCATCGCTCCTCAACAGATCACCATGTCGTCTCCCTGCTCCGCTCTGTGCACTGGTTGTATCTACACCTACGGGCGGCAAGGTCATGCATGGGCATACGCGTGGGGTTGTGTCGTCCTCGTATTGCTGAGTTTGTCCCCTAGCGACAAGGCTATCACTCAAAAATCAAGGGAGAAAGCCGACTGTTTCGACGTCACAAGACGCTCACCACTTGTTTGAGCGACTGTATTCGACATGCGGCATGCTCCTTGCCCTTCCTACCCTACTCGCTACTGTGAGTCAGTTCTTCGTTTTTTTTTTTTTTTTGGGTCGACTATGTGTAGCTCTTTTCTATCCCGCCGTTGTACCCAACTCGCTCCCTCGTTAGAGATTCTTGTAACCTTCATGTACAAAGAAATAAAAAAAGACAAAACACAAGCCTCCGCCGTGTTTGGTGTCGAGGGTTGCGACCATGCTCTTGCCTTGTTTATTAGTTTGTGTTTCTCGGTTTATGCAACTCTGGGAGAAAATTTATATATCTTGGAATCAACGGCGGCAAGATTAGTGCCGAGTCTGACGGGGAGTCAGGGATTGGTGTGAGATGGCACGGAGCTCCGTGAATACGAAGCAGTGTCACGTTCTCTGACGTTCCTCGTGCTTGACAAGGGCCGTCTAGGTCTGTCTCTGAAAAGTGCCGCCCATTGCAAACGGCTGTGGGTAAACGCACGGACAAAAGAGCTCGCGCCCACCAACGGTCACACGCCGATCGCAACCACTCAAGAGAGTTTCAGGTTGCACGCAGTGTCTCAAGAGATATCGAATCACATTGATCAAAACGAATAACGGGGCGGGGAAGACAGGGGGAAAAATTACAAGCTTTACGATAGATGGGCCGAGCTCTGCGCTCTCGTCCTTTTGCCGACACTCGTGAGGGGCTCCAGGGAGGGCGATTGCCCCTTCTCCCGCGGGAGTGCCGGTAAACATGCACGCGGGCTTGAACTGGCGGTCGGCTTTAAGATTGTCTCTTTCGTGGGTTTTCCGGGTTCGGCATGGGTGTATACAGCGCCTTTCTCAGCTCGATATGATTGTACTCGTATCATCTGCCGTGCGTGCTCACGCATACCGACAGAATGTCATGGACGCTTGCCCCAATCATCCTTGATTCCGGGAATAAACTGCTGTTAAAAGGGTAGACGAAGTAGCGCGTTTTCCTTGCACAGACTGGCGAGTACAAGCCAACATTGTAGCATTGGTACTATAGCCGTTCAAAGCTTGAATGCACGAAAAATAGTCACCTGGAACAAATTCAGACAAGCAGATTGCACTGCATGTTCTCAAGCGAGGGCAGCGAACGTCGCAGGGACAAGACAGCCTTCTTCGTAAGAGACGCATGCCAGGCAGAGTTTCAAACGGCCCAGCTGCCGACTCGATGGCCATCCTCTTCCTCCTCGTCCTCATCGCCAAACAAATACGCAGTCAAGGCGTTCAAACTAGGCCTCTGCAACTTCAAGCCATCCTTGGACACCAAAAACACGGCAAAGGACCCGACGGTGGCGGCCAAGGCATCGGCGATCTCGGCCCCCCTTCCCTGGACAGCGAGGCTCTGCGCCAGTTCGAGGAATAGTGCGGCGACAATGGAGCCCGCGCAAACAGCCTCGGGTGGAACGGTGGGCGGCACAAGCTGGGCTGCGCAGAGCACCAGGAGGACGTGCGCGAGAAAGTGGAACAAGACGTCAAAATGAGGCGGTAGCTGAGCAAGCGCTGGCTTGAAAAGCGAGGTGAAGGCGCCCACGAGAAGCAGCAACACAGTGACAAGCAGCACGCCGATGAAGACCTGACGGCGCATGATGCGTGGGAATGGCGCTACCGCCGCTTGAGCATCGGGGGATTGAATTCACTTGGGATTGTTGAAGATGACAAGCGCGACTTTGTTCATCGGCCAAGGGAGGTCCTTGATGACGTCCGGTACAGTAGGACATGGTGGATGAGATGTGTCTAAAAAACATATTTTTTCCATATTTATCGAAAGGATTTACATGCAACGAAGCCATCTGGTCGTACGAAGAAGAATTGAACGCTAAACATATGTAACAAGTGATTTCAAACAGTTGCCCTCGACCTCAACCCCTAAATGCGCAATTTCCCGCCCCTCCTCCCCACTCCCCCCTCCCCACTACCGTACCTAGTTAACCGCGGAGACGAACGCCTTTCCGTAAACACCCACGTTCTGTGCACGAAGGAGACGCGTCGCTCTCCCGCCCTGCAGTCACCTAACAAGCTGCACCGCACTAGATAAATCAAACTCCTAAAACCTTCCACCCCCGTTGCCAACACACCCTGGGTGGGACATCCTACTACAAGCTAGCATCTCGAAACCTAATAGACAGGAATAAAAATTAAAAAAAGAAAAGCGAGCCAGAGCTGTGAAAACAACGCAACGACCATGCTAACCCTTCTTCCTCCTTTCCTTTCCTGAGCGCGACGTATCATCCCCGTCCCTCTTGCCCCTCTTCCTTCTCGACTTGGAGCTGACGACGCTCATGGGCACCTCGGTCTTATAATAACTGAGATCGACCTTGCCCGCGCGCTGCTCAGGAGTGAGGCCCGATTTGGGCTTGCGACCTCCCTGTCCATGATACAAGCTACTAAAGTCCATCTTATCAAAGACAAGGCCGTGCGCAGCGGCGCTTTCCTTGAGCGGGACGAGGTGCCTTTTTTGCTTCTCGCGGGAATTGGGGCTGTGGTGCTTATGCTCTCGCGGTGCGCAGATTTCGCACAGCGGGGTGGCGGCGTCGACGGCGAAGACAGCGGCGGGAGCGACATCGCAGCGGCCGCACAGCGCAGCGACGACGGAATTCGATTGGATGGGGACCGGAACGGGCGACGACGCGGACACGGGACGGCGGTGCAGACAGGAGGCGCATAAGGCTGACGAAGACGTGCCGCACCAATGCGACGCCTCGGCGCGCTCGCAGGATGAACACAGTGCTCGGAGATTCAGTAGTCGAGGCATGCCGCTGCCATTGAGATGCGGACGCGGAGAGAGGGGGAGGGGGAGGGGGAGGGGGAGATTGGGTTGGGACGAAGTGGTTACTGAGGGGGAGGTCAGGCTGTTAGAGTGATGGCAGGGGTACGGGAGAGGTGCAAGATTTTGGGACGGGGACGTTTGAGGAATCGGTGTTACGAGGTTTGAATAGGATGATGTGAAAGGTATCAGAAATGGAGGGAGCGGTTTTGGCGGTCAAGGGAGAGGCGGACTTGGGTAGATAAGGTATGGAAGAGGAGAGTTGCGCTTGAGGGAGAAAGGGTAGCGCGGGGAGGTGAGCTAGCGGTTTGGCAGAGCATGGCGAGATGACCGTAGAAGATTGCGCAGTGGATACTAAGATCTCGGAGGCCCAACCAGATGTCGGGCAGAAAAATGTTGAAATAGGTGGCCGACTTTGATGGCCACCGCTTGGTCCATTTCCGCCACCTATCTTTGCCGACATGCCCCTTCCCTGCAGCCGCACAATCCCTTGCTCAGATCTTCCATTTCCGCCTCCTAAATATCTTTCCCGACATGCCCCTTCCCTACACCCACACAATCCCTTGCTCAGATCTTCAGCTCCTATCTCGATATTTATATCCATGCATCCAATCCCGCTTCTCTCCTCACACGCCATCCGGATTCGCTCCAGAATCAACGCCCGAGATCTCCCCCATGTCTGTCGAGAAATCTCCGTCCCTCGCGCCCCCCCGCCGCTCACGTCATCTCGTCCACCAACATGTTCGCTGCCTTCGTCGCCCTGCCGGCAACCTCCCCCTTCCAGCCCCGCCCGCGCCTCTCCGTCACCCCCGTGCGCCCGCCGCCGCGCCTCTCCCGCCGCCGCCCCGTCGCCCGCGTCGACTACAACAACGAGCTCCGGCCCTCCATCGGCTTCACCATGTACGCCGAGGTCTTCAACGGCCGCGCCGCCATGATCGGCTTCGTCGCCACCGTCGCCATCGAGCTGGCGACGGGCAAGGGTGTCGTCGACTTGTTCCTCGCCTTCACGGGCTCGGCCTAGCCCCCGCCCCGCCGCAAGCATTCGCGTGCCGCCACCCCCGCAACCCCGCCCGCCCTACAATAAACGCGTCGATTTTGTCCCCTTTCCCGTGCCCGACGCCTCCCCCCAACCCCTGCATGCCAGGGGCCGGATAGGCCCCGCGCGCCCCGCCCTTCCTTCCGCCGCGCCCGTCGTGTCGCTTGCCCACTGCCACCGCTCCACGTGCCCCCCTTACCCGCCCGCCCCGCCCTTCATCGCGACGCGCACTGCAATCCGGCATGTCGATCCAGACAACGCATCAATGCGACCCGCGTCTCCTGCGTCTCATCCTGCGTCTCATCCTGCGTTTCACAAATTCACGCTTTCTCGCGCTCTCGTTCACCATACCCTCATCCACGGCGCGCTGCCATCTTGTCGCGCTGCCATATTGTACCAGCACCAATCTACCGATACAGACCAAGCGTATACATACACACCTCACTGCCCCGTCACATGAAGAAGAAGCTCTTACTGGGCATGAGCGCGACCGCCTGCGCGGCATGCGCGAGCGGGGCGGTGACCTGCCGCACGCCGTGCATGCCGGTCGCCGCATCTGCCGCCAGCGCCGCCGCTGCGAGCAGCCCCAGCGTGATCGCTCGGGCGTCGGCCTTCTGCAAGGGCGCGTCGGTCTGCCGCGCGGCCGAATCGGCCTGTCGTGCTGGCGGCGCAAAGCCGCGCGCCGGCGCAGACACGGCCGAAGGCTTGGCCGCAGGCTCGGGGGTGCGTGTCTCTGAAACGGACGGGGCCGCGGCCCGCCGCGGCTTGCGCGCCGTCTGCAGCGACATCCGTGACGCGCGCCGCGGAGCGGCGGCGCACGGTCCGGCCCGAAGCGCGTGAAGGGCCGGAGCTAGGGTGAAAGCGGCGGACATCTTGGAAGCGGAGGCTGGGCTTGAGGAAATGTATTGGGTGTGCGAGTAGTTCGGGCAAATGCTCTTGAGAGTATCGGCAGTCTGAGATGAGACTGCCGATGGGAAGGGAGGAGAGCAGCGGGGCGTAATAAGTAAGCGCCGCAGCCACGTCGCGGGCGCATCATTCGTGGACGCGGGGTGGTTGGGCGGCGGGCGCTCGCCGCCCTCTCGCATGGGCCGCAAAAAAAATCCGGTGACGTCTTCTGCAGATGCACACTGCTCGGTGATTGGCTGCACAGGGGTAGGCGGCGGATCGCACACGGCGCGCTTTGCTAGGGGCGCCGCAAGTGCGCGACAGAGGCGGCTTGCTACAGCCTCCAACGAGAAGGCCGGCCGTTTTCAGCCCTTGACATCTCTTCATGTGGTCTTAGCTGGCGAGGGCGATGCAGGGGAGTTCAACACGCAGAGAATGCTTTCGAGGCATTGCATTCGCAAAGGTCGTTTATGCATTATTAACGTACAACACAAATCCTTTAGGCTATCTGCACAACTTTTGATTTCACTTACTCCAGATAGACTCAAATCCCCTGTCTACCGTTCATCTTCGTGTGTGTGCCAATGCAGTCGTTGGTTGTGGGCAACTGTGAGATAGTCTTCTTCACGTCGTCATGTGTTACACGGTAGTCCGTTCCATTACGAATTGTCGTGTGCTGTATCATAAACCGAGTACGCAGTACGTCCCCACTGACAGAATGGAAAGGCAACAGGTAGCCACAATTAAGAGTAGTGACTCTTATTGGCTTCTGGACCATGGTGTAATACATTGCGATGAGGCCACTCGCACGTACCCAACTGAAGTGCAAATTTTCTGCACAGAAGTACACGTACTCGCAGAATTGGTATAACGTGATAACATTTGAGGCTGCGCTCTTTAGTTTGCCACCACATACGCTGGGCAATTATATAGATTTCGGCTTCGTAGCAAGAGTATTTCCCGTACGGAAGATGCACTGCAGGCAATAATTTGTCAGTGCAATGCGACAAAATGTCGAAATTCTCCCTGCCGGTACGGAACTGACAGCAGAGTGGTCGGCATCGGTTCTCTCAGAAGGAATTATTTCTCACTTCTCTGCTACTTCGTCTGGAAACTGAATGTGAGATATCGGATGTTTATATATACAACCTTCTAATCTAAGTAAAAAACCGTTATACGTGTCTTCGGGCAGAATGGTATCACGCCGTGACACATCGGGAGTCTAGAATTCTCAGCTACTTGGCAAAGTCTGCAATTAGAGGCCAAAGCTCTGCAAGGCATGCGTCAGGGGTCCAAACATGATCAGCATCTGTTCTCCCATCGGCTTCCCAGACACGATTTCCGTAATCAGACCAATCACGAATCCCATCTGTGCCAGACGCCCGTTCACCTTCTCAGAGTACGGCGTAAAGCCTTGTGGGCCTCGGTAAGCGGAAGCCTCCTTTGCGGCCTTGTTGGCTTCGAGACGAGAGAAGGTGGAGGACTTGTCCTTCGAATCAGACTCGGTCTTGAGGGCCATGCTAGGGCCAACAGTGACGGTTAACGGGCGCACGGGGGCGATGTGCGTGCCTGCGAAGGCGGAGGCACGGGGCACGACGGCGGCGGTGATGGCGAAGGCGGTAGTCATTGTTGTGTATGTGGGGGTGGTGTGAAGCGGAAAGAGTTCAAGTTGATGGTTCGAGTTGAGTGTTGTGAGTGTGTGCGACTGGTGAAGAGTTGGTCTGTAGAGCCGTTTATATAGCAGTCGTCAGCTGTGTGAAGGATTAAGAGTACCGCAAATGGGCTGAGAATAAGAAGGAAACGATGTATTTGCAGTGATGTCACAGTGTTTACAAGTAGAGGCGAATGGTGAATCTGCAGACTGAGATGGGTGAAATTGGGAGGGCCCCAAAATGTTAATACAACGGACAGGAGGGCTCCGCCAAATTTTGTGATTAGCTATGAGATTTCAATAAATTCTGACACGGCGCACTGACTGTCTAGGAAAGATGCGTGCTTGGCCGTGGCAATGTGGATGGGTGGTCTCGTACTGAGAAACGCGCACAGGTGGGCGAAGCACGACCGAGAGATTGCTACTGCCAGGCAGCGTCTGGTATGAGCAGGGGCGCATCCATTTCTATGTCGCTTCGCACTTTCGTTTGTGCTACAGATCGGAACATTGCTCCGCATCTGCTGTTCATCCGGTGCAAATCGCTGATGTATAGTGAGAGAAGCTTGTGCATGGCCACGGCAATGTGTATGAGTTGTCCCGCCGCCCAAGTAGAGAGGCCCTGAGGGGGATTTCTGACGACAGAGAAATTGCTCTTCTGGGGTTGTGTATTGGTATGGGTACTTGCGCTTGCAGATATCTGTGTCGCTTTGTACATTCGCTCGTGCCTCAGTGCGGATCATTGCACCACACCTGCAGTACACTCATTCCAAATCGATTGGAATGGCGAGAGAAGCTTGTACTAATCTCGGTTGTCAGTGAAAACAGTTTCTTTCTAATGTTTGCCTTGTACACGATTAATCCTACTGCTGCTCATCCAGAGCATGATCGGCTCTCCCCCCGCAGCATCGTGCGACAACATAAAGTGTCGGCTGCAAGACAGCGCGAGAGATAACGAAACGTCCATTCGATTCAGGGAAACCTAAAGCTGAGCAATCAAATAAACCAGCGGCAAGGCAGGGACTTGGTGAACGAAAAAAGTGTACGTTTTAATTGGTGCGAACGCAGAAGCGCGTATGGTACCCAGCCATAGCAAACAGACGATTCCCAACAAGTAACATTTAAAATGTGCGTACTATCATCTTGAATAGCTGCGTTGCAGCTGCATTCTAGAAATCACTTAATGCCAGAAATTCTCTCACCTCGAAACCGCCGACATACCAAACGTCGGGATTACGCGTGTTGAACATCTTAAGTAGGACATGGTATGCTCAACAAGGACTGCGATATTGATCCATAGCGACCTGGTTCTACTACTGCCATCCCTCTTTCCAGTGACGAAAGATGTTGATTTGTTTCCTTTATCGACTGGGAGAATGTCAAGTGTCTGAAATGAGAAAAGCCATTATATCAGTAAATAAGTATACAACACGAGCAGAGAAGCACTCACTCCTCGGGTGATGATATGAGTGTCTTTTTGAAACTCAGTGAATGCGGATGTTTCAATAGCGTCTCTCATACAGGTATTTTTCATCGCCAGTTTCCGCTTTTCTGCAAACTTCAATACATGCTAGTCTATGTGTGTGATGTGATCAGTCAGTACCCATTTATTACTTACCTTTCACTTCATCCTTTATTTTCCCGTGTTTCACCCTCTTTCACTGATGACACGCTGTCGGAGCCGCTTACGGGCTTCACCACACTGAGGGATTCAGCATTTTCTCCGCGTTTATGCAAGAAATGGCCGAGCTTGTCCAGGCAACTTTGGCACCGTGCCGGCATAGACAAGCTTCTCTCCACTCTCACTGTAGTCGTAGAGGGCAAATAGAGCAGAATACCTCGGGTGAATGAGACACAGATTACGGCACAGAGAGTAGCGCGTTGTCAATTTTACATCTATGGGAAATTAAGCTGGCTAAGTATACAAGTCAAAGGCCCTAAATGCTCAAAGTCCCAAGCTCTGCAAGGCATGCGTCAGGGGTCCAAACATGATCAGCATCTGTTCTCCCATCGGCTTCCCAGACACGATCTCCGTAATCAAACCAATCACGAATCCCATCTGTGCCAAACGTCCGTTCACCTTCTCAGCGTACGGCGTAAAGCCCTGCGGGCCTCGGTAAGCGGAAGCCTCCTTTGCGGCCTTGTTGGCCTCGAGACGAGAGAAGGTGGAGGTCTTGGTCTTCGAATCGGACTTGGTCTTGAGGGCCATGCTAGGGCCAACAGAGATGGTTAACGGGCGCACGGAGGCGATGTGCGTGCCTGTGAAGGCGGAGGCACGGGGGACGACGGCGGCGGTGATGGCGAAGGCGGTAGTCATTGTTGATGTGTAGGTGGGGGTGGTGTGGAGCGGAAAGGATTTAAGTTGGATGTTTGAGTTGAGTGTTGTGAGTACGTGAGTGGGGACAGAAGAAGTGAGTGGGGCTCCGCGGTATTTATATAGAAGCAGTTTAGTTGTACCAGCGCAGCAAATCTACAGGTAGAATTCTAGAAGGATACATTGAAGTTACTCATTCTGCACAGCGGATGAACAGGAAAAACATTTTGAGTTGTGGAGGCATAGAGGGTACTCCCTATGCGCATCCGTGCTGCGGTAGAGCATTGAGAGGGGTACATAGAGGATTCATGGAAAACAACCGCATACAGATCAAGAACCAGAAAACGAAGGGCTAATCCATGAGCCAGTTCATCAACGGATGCCGCATCGCCGCGGAAGTTCCACCTAGAGGTTACACAGGCTCGCAAGCGACACGTGCGGGGCAGGATGCGCGGATCAACGGCGGGGTCAACAGCCATCCGTTGAGACTGGATGCGCCAAAACCCGCAAACCGTCACCCTCCGGGCAGCGGGCAACCCCGCGGACACGCCCCGCGACGAATTACGTGGCCGGCGCGAATAGGAAGCGCGCATTGCAAAACGGGGTATGCAATTTCCGCCGCCAGAAATCTGTCAGGGGGCGTGATCTGGGAAATCCCACCGCGGAGCGTCGATCGTGCCGCTGCAGTATCCGCGCCGGAATGTCGCGCGCGCTGTGATTGGCAGGGATGCCATCCGCAACCGTCACCGTCGGTTTAGATTCTTCCGTTTGCATTGCTATGACGCTGTCAGAAGGGGCGCATGCCCCTCCGCCACCCTGAGCATGCGAGTGTGCGGTGAGCTTGCATCCGATACGTGCCGGAGCCATCCGCGGGAAACTTTCACGGTGGGTCTCCGCCTTTGCAGGGAAGGTGCGGTTGACAGCGTGGCGACAGGCGGAGGGCATGCTAGCTTGGTGGGGGATTTCGCAGTAGCAAGCTCTATATAAACAGAAGATTAACTCCCGTGTTAGCGATCCGTCCACCACTACCACTACCACCAACACCACACTCACACACCCTCACTCACTCAACCCTCATCCTCAACCACCAACCCAGCAATGAACTCCACCGCCTTCGTTTCCGCAACTCCGGTCCTGGCCCGCCCTACCGCCTCCGTCTCGAAGACCTCCTTCACTGCCCGCCGCCAGTTCGTGGCCGCCCCCGCGCGCCGCTCCGCCGTCGTGAGGATGAACATCGACGACAACAACAAGCAGATCCCGCAGGGCTTCACCGCCTTCTCTGAGCAGCTCAATGGCCGTGCCGCCATGTTTGGCTTCGTCCTCGCCATCGCCACCGAGGCCCTCACGGGTAAGGGCATTGTAGGACAGGTCAGCGCCCTATTCGACGTCTCCGGTATCGCGTCCGCTCTCGGCTTGCAATGAGGAACGCCACGCGGGTGCACAGTCGTAGCGTTGTACTAGATCGTTTACTGTAAAAGCTATTGTTGTATTCATCTTACCGTCGCCATTTGCCTTCCGATTCTTCCCTATTCAGTGTGCTAATTGAATTCTCTCCTGCCCAGTTGGGCCTATTACGAACTCCGTTCCAACTGCGGAGATAATACAAGTCGTGCTGTTCTCCACTGGCCCTACATCCAGTTCGATGCAGCGATGCGTTGTAGCAACCATCTTTCTTGTTGTCTACCACGACCGGACGGGGGAAGATTGTGTGCGCGATTTGACTTGTCAAACCAGCACTGTCTTAGGTAAATACCGCGACATTCCATTCTGTGGTTTCCGCGCAAGGGCAGGTGGAGGCAATTATTGCAAATAATACATGACAAACGCAAACTTTACTCTTGTCCAGGAACGCAGTCCTAATGTTTATCGCCCATTGAGATGCAGCATTCTTGCACACTACCGCTCATCCTTGAAATACTGTCCTTGCAACATCGACACGTACGATTTCCTCGGAGGGGGTTCCCGGGGAATTTACTTGCATTTTGTTCACATCGTTGTTGTGGTTCACTGTTATTAAGCCAACTTGACGGAACATGCAGTTGGCGGTGCCCGGTGTTAAAAGTGTCTACCGTCATTGCTGTTTTCGTCCCAGACAGCACATGGCGCCAACATTTAATTTTCGAGAAGTTTTGTTACATACCCCTTTTATTTTGGAATCTTTGTTACGTACCCCTTTCTTCACCTCACTCCCGAACGATTTTCCGGTAGAGGTACACAGTGTCTGGGGCTTCGCAAGTCGTAGCGTAGTGCCCAACTTGACCACAAGCAGAGCAACGCGACGTTCACTGAGACGCTGCCGACCCCCTGTTTTCGCCGTTTCTTCGGCCGACCTGCCTGACTTGGAACTCTCCACGCGCTCATCTGTCTGGCAATAGGCAGCATCTGCAAATCCACGTTAATGTTAACTTGAGAGGCTCGAGCAGCAGCAGCAGCAACATACTGGCTTTGGAGTGTTGCATGATGAAAAACAGTTGATGCCCACTTTTGTGTCCAGATGATTCCAGTGTGCAGCCTCCGGGACGTTCGCATGCCGCTCGCGTAGATTATCAAACACTAGCACACGGCTAGGGGCTTGCGCTTACATTTCCCCTTTATAGCGTCGCAGGAGTGAGTGAGATTGAGTTTTCCCACTTTCCACAAGCCGTTGTTTGCCCTGCGGTCTGGTTGGGCGTTGAAAGTGTATGAGCACTCCTGGGAGGGGCACTGTATATGTAGGCGCCCAGAGTCTGACTTTTATACCTTGTGAGATCGGCCCACGGTGACGCACCGGGCTAAGGATGCCATCAAGATACTGTGTTTGTCAGGGAACGTGCTCCCTTTGACCAAACTCATTCCGACGACGCCCTCTCCACCTCGTCATCACTCCAGCTAGCGCTCCTAATTTACACCACTGCTAGACTTGCTCTTAGACCAAGTCTAGCAGTGGTGTAAATGCCAATATTTGGCTAAATTTTAGCCATGGGGCAAGTCTAGCAGTGCAGTATGTCTAAAGTATTTGGTGTGTATACCACATGTTTTGGTGTATACTGTAATTTCTGTTATCCACCGACACAAATACACCTTGAAATACACCAACAAGTGCCCAATTTTATTTTAAAACTAGATTGATTCAGCCAATGAGAGTGTCAGGTGTATTCACAGCTCTATTTCCCGCCCAATTGTCCCACTTCTCACCATGGATTCCGGACACTCTCCAAGTACCCTTGGTACTGTACCCCGAGTACGAGATACTGTTACAGTAGCTGGTTTCACCGAAACTGCTGGGGATGCCAATGATAGTTTCTAAATTGTGGTCTATATGTCAGACCACACAAGACAGGCTGTCCAAGACAGCCCAAAACTGACTACTTAATAGGACGACGGACACATCAAGTAAAAGAAGGGATCACCGGTCTCGAGTTTCTCACAGGTTATGGGCACTATCTAGACACTGCGCACTTCCCCACCCTATCACCACGGACGCAACATCGCAACGAAGTCGACGCCTCGAAAGGCGCCGACAAAACAGAGACAACGCAGAACTCACACTTGAACTCTGGCACTACGCCCAGCTCCGCGACGCAGAAGACCGACCATCCCCTCACGCAAATCCAACCCCGAACACAACACCAAGTACCACTCCCTTCACACCCATCATTACTCAGAGGCAACCAGTACACACTACCCCATACATCATGGACAACAAACTCAGCGATGTACCAAAACTTGATCCTATCAACTACTCTCCGTGGTATATCGCGCTACGATCAACAACTGTCACAAATGACGCCTTTGAACACTTCCACACTAACCCACAGCCGCCGACCAACCCCGAAGCACTCACCGCATTCAACAAAAAGAAACACTCGCTTATCGCCAAGATCATAAGCACAGTTCCTGCAGACATCATCAACTTACTTCTGACACCGCAGTCAGACCCCACTCCGCATGATCTCATAGAACAGATCACACAACATTTAGACACCATAAACGTCAGTGATCACAAATATCTGAAACAGATCGCAGAACAGACAAGGTTTCTACCCGACACCAACATCAACGAATATGTCAAAGAGCACTAGAACATACGCGCCAAAATGATCGCTGCCAAGTACCCAGATATAAACAACCCCCGCACCACAGTCGACTTTATGTTAGATGGACTCAAACACAACCCGGCCACAATCAACATTGGCCTACAGCTCATGGCCCTCAAACCGCAAGATGTGAAAGAGTTCGTACACGAGTATAACAGAGTCATCAGTTACCATGAAGCCGCACCAAGCCGCCACCAAGCATTCCCCCAAGCATTCCCCCAATCATTCACCCAAACCTTCGGTCCGGGAGCCCAACGCAGCCCCGGGGACTATGCACCACAATCCACACACCGCTATACAACTCGCCCGCCTCGGAACCGTCAGCAAAGCTTCGCCCCCTGCAAACACCACATAGCAAAAGGATTCCGCAACCCTCAGCATACAGATGCTGAATGCAACGACCCACGTCACCCCAAGCGACTGCACAGCGCAGATCGCAAACCCAGCGTCCGAGCCGTCACCTTCCAACCGGACACAATCGTGGAGAGAGACCTCCAGGAAGAGATAGGAGAAAACGTCTACCAAATAGCCCAACTCCAAGACGGTACGTCAAACGTCCTCGACTCCGCCCCCGACCCGACTCACATGGCACGGCCACAACCACACATGAAACCCCTCACTCCGCCCACACACACGACCACTGCCACTAACCAAACCTCCCCATGCTCCCATCAAGGACAGGCACTACTAACGACCAGTAATGCTACTCCAATCCAACTACCAGCAGTTGTCAACCAAAGCCTGTCCCACAACCTCCTATCAGTTCACGACATTGCAGCCCAATACGGAGATGTACTGTTCCAATCTGGAACAGCATACATTCTAGGTAGCTCCATCCCCCCTTCAGTAGTGCACCAACACAAAATACTTGGAACCGCACCATGGCACGACACACTAAAAGGCTATGCCTGGCATTCACCAACACCCACAGCCGCGAGAGCCGCCCGCACAGTGCCAAACAGGCGCCACACAACAACACGCACTCAACGAGACCACTCAAAAACAAAGAACCAAACGCAAGAAAAAACTATAGAATCACCGCGAGGACGAAAACCAACAACACACATAGCACACAAACACACCATCAACATCCGCACACAGAACCCCACCGCAACGCCACACCCAGCAAAAGTCACCAACAAAACACAGCTCCTTCAAAAATGGCACCTCATCCTCAATCACGCCACCCCAACTGCAATACGTACAATGGCCAAAGAAAAAACCATACCCATAATACCACAGACGCTCGCACATGCCACAGACGAAGTGACATGCTCAGCATGTGCACATGCCAAACTCAAACCCAGACCGCACAAACCAAAAATACATCACTACAAAACCCGGGAATATATCAGTTCGGACACATGCGGTCCCATAACACCGCGATCCCGACACGGAAACCAACACTTCCTCACATTTATAGATGCACACAGCAGATACCTATTACTCTACTTCCTGAGTGAGCGAAAAGAAGTATGCATCGCCGCACCCGGTTTCTTCGCCTTAGTGTATGCCAAGTATGGCACTGCCCCCACATACTATCGCACGGACAACGCAAAGGAATTCACTTCGAAGTACATGCAGACCGTTTACAGCCAATTCGGCATCACACAGCTCAACAACGCACCTCATCAGCCGCAAGAAAACTCAATCGCCGAACGCATAAATCAAACATTGATGAATGCAGCCAGAGCAGCATTAAACCACGCAAACCTCGATGACACCCACTGGGAGGACGCTGTACGCGACGCGGCATTCAAATACAATATCATGAGACACCGTGCGCACAGCAAATCCCCCTACGAGCTATGGCATGGTGCCAAACCACAGATCCCAAAATTGCACCCCTTTGGCCAACTAGGCGTCATACCAGTACACAAAAACAAAAAGAAGCTGGAAACCCGAGCAGTCCCCGTGCGCTACATGTACGGGACCAACCCAACCCTCATCATGGTATTGAACCTCCAAACCCAACAGTACCAACAAGTCAGAACAGTAGACTTCAACCCCTACCACCACGCCAAGGACCCATCTCACACACACGCCAAAGCATTTCGCATACAAACCAAAACACTCAACTCACCGACGACAATCGAAAGCACAACACCAGCACCCACACACACCGCCCACGCCCGCCGCTATCCAGATGCCAATCTCTGGCAACAAGCACACGATGCAGAACTACAATCAATCGACAACGCGAAGACGATACATTGGATACCAGATCACCTGATCCCACCCAACGAACTCCTCGTCCCACTGTTGATGACTTACCGTTACAAGCGCAACTCCAACGGACAAGTAGATATCAGGAAAGCACGCTGCTCTGTTCGCGGAGACGTCATGATTCCCGGAAAACATTTTGACCCTGACCACACGACAAACTACATGGCTGAGAAAACTACAGTACGAGCGCTTATTGCCATCAATGCCGCCAAGCAATGGCACTCGGCACACTATGATATCACATCAGCCTACCTCCATGAGCAATATGACCCTAAACACACGGTATATGTACGTCAGCTGCCTCGGTTCGATGGAACTTACAAACACCAGCACAAAGCAGGAAGACTGCAGGGCAACCTAGACGGCACACCGCCAGCCGCGCTTATTTACTTCAAAGGGCTAGTCACCCACCTCAAACGCAGTAAGTACACACAATCGCAGGCAGACCCCTGCCTGTTCCACCGAAGCACACGCAACGACACAGTATTACTAGCAATCAGCATGGATGACTTTTATGCGACATCCAATAACCCAAACATGCTGCACGAATTGTTTGAAACACTGAAAGCGAAGTACACTGTCAAAAAGCTTGGCAAACCCACCCAATACCTGAACTGGTCACTCACGTATGAGCCGAATGGCACAACACATGTGACACAAACGCATACGGTTAATCAAATCCTTTCAAAAGCACGCATGACAAATGCAATACCCAAGCCCACTCCGCTCCCCGAGAAAAGCAACACGACACTAATCGATGACACCAAAAGGTTAGACCTACACAAAGCGCACATATACCGACAGACACTGGGGGATCTGCGATACGTCGCAGATTGCACAAGATTTGACATACATCATGCTGTAAACCGACTCGCTGCCACCATGCATGAACCCACATACCAAAACTGGCACCATCTCAAATGGCTTCTCCGCTATCTCAAAGGAACGAAAACACGCGGACTGACATACAAACCAACACACAAGCCAAGCGACAACCTCAAAGTTACGACCTACTCCGATGCCGATTTCGCCAATAGCAAAGATAGAAAGTCGTACACGGGAATCATACACTTACTGAACACCGGACCCATACACTGGACTTCCAACAAGCAGAATGTCGTAGCACTTTCGACATGTGAAGCTGAATATCTCGCAGCCTCGACAGCCGCCCAGCAAACAAACTGGCTTAAGCGGCTCCTCTTGGAGATACAGCAAATCACACCCAAGCCCGTCACGCTGTACATCGACAACCAAGCCGCTATACAGGTCGCAAAGCAAACCGCCCCTACGAAGCGCCGAAAACTGATCGACATACGACATCACCACCTGCATGACAACATTGCGAAAGGAATAATCGAGATCAAACACACACCGACCCAGAATAACCTAGCGGACATGTTCACAAAACCCCTTGGCAAGACTCGATTCACGAAACTCAACATGCAACTCAACGGATCGCCACCCCACCCTGTCTCCGTGCCAGCTGCACCGGGGACTGTCAGACCACACAACACCACATGCAGCTGACACTCATTCTCGCTGCTGTCAGACCACACAAGACAGGCTGTCCAAGACAGCCCAAAACTGACTACTTAATAGGACGACGGACACATCAAGTAAAAGAAGGGATCACCGGTCTCGAGTTTCTCACACTATATTTTCGAATATGTGGTGTATATTTTACCCAACTGCTAGTGTCTAGGTGACAAATGACCTCATATGAGGTCACTTTTCAACTTATTTTTCTCGACTTGTGCTAGCTCAACAAGATGGAAAAAAGATACTCTCGACACGGCAGTTGACTTCTGCGTTGTGGAAGGGTGGAGTTTGGTGAGATCTGCACGTCTTCTCCAGCCATTTTTAAAATGCCCAAAAAGGAGCCTTTTTTGACCAACCTCAAAACGTTTTATGTTGATATCTTTGAAACCAAAACGCCTGTTTAAAAAGTCAACTCATCATTGATACTTCATTAGATTCTTAGTCTCTCTGTGCATTGACAACCGCCATCCCAATGTTTTGCAAGATGTTATTGCCGAGCGCGTATACGTTAAAGAAATGGTGTCCAAACTGAATGTTTTAAAGTTTCGATTTAATTTATATATTTTTGCAAAAAAAAGCTGGCCTCATATGAGGCCATGACTGACCTCATATGAGGTCAAATTGCTTGTCGTCTAGACACTGGACTTTCTAAGAAAAGGGGCTCATAAAAAGGGGTACGTAACAAAAATTCCAAAATAAGAGGGATACGTAAGAAAAATTCTCTTAATTTTCACATGACCTTACAGCAAGTCTACTGTACCAGTGCTCTTAAAATATAGCACAAATTGAAAGAAACAGATACAAAGGTGAGCCCGTTGATGTCAACGTGATGATGTTGGCAGGGTGTTCCTGTCAACTGTACAACTTTACGACGAGAAGATAACTGCTGGTAATAAACGATATATCCACAAACGATATATCCACAAACGATTTATCCACAAACAAAGACGAACGACTGCGCGCTGCTATGCGTCTTTTGACAGGCCGGAACTGGAAAGTGTCCTCTTCAAGGAGATCCACAAGGAGAACAAAGCTTGCCAATGATAGATAGTCCAGAACAGGCAGTATTCATCTTTCACAATTCCAGGCATATGGGGCTCTTGCCCATTGGTAAAGACAACACTCTGCTCTGAACAGGAGTTAAGTCCTTAGCTAGTACTTGTGTAGAAGATGCACGGTGCTGACCGGAAAAAGAAGTCGCAAACCTGTGCTTCAAGTATGCGTACTTCCTGTTTGTTTATATATGCATGCAGTGTGTTCGGAAAGCAATTACTTGAGATGTATCTTACTTACGCTTTACACAACTGACAAAAATCGACACGCACCCGCGGCCGAACTAGGCTTTGCCGGATTCGGTGGCATGTGCTCCTCCCAGGGCCCACCGTCACGCCTTCCCTTGCTTAGCATTAGGCGACTGCGTGGCCTTATTCCCCTGATTAACGACGGGGCTTGCCTCCGGCGCGCCTGCGGTAACAGAGTCTGCAAAGTAGGGGGGTTTCTTGAGTGACACTCCGTACTCCCTGAGCGCCCTCTCGAGATCGTCGACGGTCAGAGTGAGCTTGGCCTCCCTCGCGGCGGCGGTGCTCTTGCGGTGGGCCGAAGTATTGCTGTGGCGCAGCCTTGCGTGCGAGATGGCGTCCGTGGCGATGTCGGCGAGGAACTTCTGCGCGGCCAGCGCGATGAAGCGCTCGACGCGCACGTCGTCCGTCGCAAAGCCGGCACGAGAGAGATAGTGCCGGACTAGCTCGTCCGGCAGCGCAGGGTGGTACTCGCTTAGACCAGCGAGGAACTTTTCCAGCTCCTCGCGCTCGGAGCTCGGGGGATGTCCAGCGTAGGACATCGGGAGAGTGGGGGGAGGGGTGGGGCGGGAGAAGGGGGGGAGGGGAGACAACTCGGCGCGGTAAACGGGTGCGGCAGTGGTGAAAGTATGACCGGTGGAAAGCGTAGGGAAGGCGGATTTTTAGGAAAAACTTGATGGCGCAAAGTTTCAAGTTTTGCCCTTTATTGCTGCATCTCATTTTCTCCGTTGTATCCCAGCACATCTCCATCGTCACCCCTCGCGTCTCTTGTATACTTTCAATTCACGTCGCACTCGAAACCAACACTCTCGTCCTCCACCGAGCCGACCGAGCCTGTAGCTTGCTGACACTATCCTTTCGCCACGATGAAAAGAAGCACTCCATCCGCCCGCTCTATGCCCACCGGCCTCAGCACCTTCCCCGACAGCCGCGGCTATGGCGCTTCCCCGTTCCCTCCGCCGGCTGCTGCTCTCTTTCCTGTGGCCGCGCCCGACGCACGCGCCGCCGGATGAGTACGCCACCAATTACCGCGCGTACTACGCCCCATCGAAGAAGCGCCCGCGCCGCGCGAGAAGGCAGCTGCGCCCGCCGTCCGTGTGGGCGCGCCTGCCGCTGCTCATGCTGTACCTAGTGCTTACTCTGTGCGTGGTCGCGAAACTTTCAGGCAAGCAAATTTCTTTTGCCTTTCGCAGAGAGACGGAGGGCAGATCCGTGGGCACCACGAGAATACCACCCCAGTCGAGAGGGGAGACGAGAGTCGTCGCTGTGCAGGCCGACCATGTGGTCGAGGGTATGCGCCCGCCGCAGTTTGGCGAGGAAGATGCTGGGGAGGGGGGTGGTGCGCGTGGACAGGAGACGGCGGGAACTTTGCACGCTTTGGATGACTCTTTGGCGAGCGGAGATGATGACATGGACGAGGCGTCTTTCTCGAACAGTCGTAGCAGCAGTCCCAGCCGCGCATCCGCACAAAAGTCGTATTCGCTTTCCCCTGCTGCACAGATACTGCAAGCACGGGACCATGTGCAGAACTTGTCGAAGGAGCGCCACGCGGTTGAAGAGAGGGAGATCGGGACGAGGACGTGCTACCATTCGAGCAAGACGTCAGACGCGGTGTGCGTGCATGTCCCGTTTTGTGTCAGGCATAATAGTATCGTGTATATGAGCGATACGTTGAAGTGCGCGCCTTATTCGAATAAGCAAGGCACGCTGGGAACGCTTTCGATGGGGAGATGTGTCGAGCTTGAGAGGGAGCTGGAGACGGAGGCGCAGATTGAACAAGTTGAGCATAAGCCGAAGAGCTGGCTCGATTCCGTGAATAGCGACGGTAATATTCTTTGGTTTGAAGGGGATTCCGTGTTTGTTCGTATGGGTGTGAAATGTAAGAGTGTCATGCACTTTGTCAACCGAATTTTTATGCTCCATCATGTGCTCCAACACCCCGAAAGGTATGGCATGGGTGGTGTTAGTAACGTCGTTGTGGCTGCAGATGAATCTGTAGCAAAGAAAATTCGTTATACTAAGAGCTGGCATCACGGACTTTTGAAGGCTATAGTACATCCCAACAAACTGCATTTTGGTCATAAGGGGATGCCAGAAATGGTCACTTCAGTGCCGTCGACGCCTGGGGAGATTCGAGTATTCGTGCCGTCTGGATTGTGGGATCTCGCCAAGGGCAAGCATGTTCCGTGCTTCAGAAGAGCCGCTATTCCAGGTTCGCTCAAAACTCAATTCTTTCTCTCCGAGGATGTCTTCCCCGGCGTTGTCGAGACGGGCGCGGAGACTTCGCCGACCAAGTATCGGGATGCCGATGTGTTTCGGACATTATTGTTCCAGTCTCTTGGACATAGCAGCCCGCCCAAGATGAAGAAAGAGATTTTATATCTGCACAGGACGTCGACGAGGACGTTTACCCGTGCGGGACAGGACATTTTGGAATCGACGCTCACAGAACTGGCCAAGCAGGGTGGATTTGAGTACCGGCTCTTGGACGTTGCAGGAATGACTTTCCCGGAGCAAATCGCGGCCGTGGCGGGCGCAGGTGTCGTTGTCGGGGTACATGGGACGCAGATGCTGAACACATTGTTCCTGCCTGCCGGGGCTGCGATCGTAGAAATTTTCCCTTCTGGCCTATCGAACAACATGTTTGTAGGTGGCAGCGGGGCTGGTCTGCACTACGCGCGGTACCAATTGCTCAAGGGGGACCCCTTTCCGCAGCTGTCAGAATTTCAAGGACTGGGGCACTGCTTGAAGGTGAGTCGTGAGTGCCGGACGTGGTATCAATCGGACAATCGCAAGCTTAGCTTTGGAATTCTGGACGCTGCGGCGGCCGGTAGCATTGTGCAGGAAGCGATCTCCCACGTCGCAAAGTCTCTGTGAGAGTGTTTGCGTGGAGGTGATGCGGTAAATCTACGGGCATTGAAGAAGGCTCGCCTATGTTTCCCGGAATGAGGGCATGGCTCGTGTAGGGTAGACGGTCTGTTGATAGTACATTACGGCAGAAACGGAAAGAAAAGGCCAAAGAAAGAAAATCATGTTGAAGTAGCATGGGTTTGGCCTGAACAAAGTGATCATCATTTCGATATGCTGTACAATGCAGACTTCTGCAGCCTCGTTTACTTGAGACGCGGTCTCCCCGACGCAGGATTGCTGCGCAGGATTGCTGCGGTGGCCACCTGTCCGCTCTCACGCCCTCCCCGTCTGCTTTGCGCACTCATCCACGTCGCGCATAGCCTCATCCTCATCATACACATCGCTGGGCATCATGAACGGGGAGGCCATTGTACTAATATACTCGCCCTGCGCCATCTGCTCTCTAATCTGATCCTCGCACTCAGCCAGGCCTTCCTCGTAGTCCTCGCGAGTCTCCTCGAGCCTCTCCTGCGCGGCGCGCTCCTCCTCCTCCAAGTCGAACGTGAGGCCGACCTCCTGCATGATGCGCTCAAGCGTGGTGACCTGGGTGGAGAGGACGTTTGCGGCCTCGGTCATTGAGCGACGCTCCTCCTCCGCGGCGCGCACCTTGGCGGTGTCGCCCTGCTGCTTCGCAAGCTCGCAGTCCTTCTCCGCGCGCAGCCCCTGCAGCACGAACTGGTGCTGCTTCTCCCGCTGCCGCAGCCGCACGGCCTGGATTGTCTCGCCCTTGCCCGCGGACGGCGGCGGCACCGACGGTCCCGCGCTCTTGGGCGCGCCCAGCGGCTCCGCGTGCCGGTTGCCGGTGAAGAAACCGCGCATTGTGAGGGAAGCGGTTTGACGGTGCCGGGGAGGGTTGAAGAGGCGCTGGACGCAGGGGGTGGACGGCGGGGGCAAGTTACACTGGCATTGGAGCGGAGCCGTACAGGCCGCCAGGGCTCGGGGGTCGGTTGAAGTGACGCGTGGCTTGGAGGCAGCGGTGTACGGAGGCGACTGTATTCTCCAAAATTTGCTTCCCAGTTTTTGCAGCACTGTGTCCGTACGCCGATGTTGGCCAGTGCCAGCCCTCCCCATGGGAACACCTGTCGAGCTGCGAACGATGAGATATGTAAGGTACAAGTACCGCGCCGCCTTAGTCAGCAAACATTGCTCGTCGTTTAACTGGCATTTACCGTGGCCTCCACGTCGACACCGCCTCTCCACTCCTTCAACCCGATCTACCACACTCCTCGTGCCCAACCAACCTCTCGCGCGCAGTGCCAAAACCAACACCGTTAAACGACGCCTCCCTCATCGACCAAACTACTCGCCGTCGCCAGTCTAACAAACCCGCATATTTACGTGCATTCCATCCTCTCCGCCCTCTCTCCCCCCCCTCGATCCCCGTGCGGTTTCCCTCATATTCACCGCCTGCATTTATGAGCACTGTAGGGACGCGGTCCGCTGTCGCTGCGCCCGCGAAACCAGCGGTCGTTCGCCACGCAATCGACCGGTCCAGTTCCAACCGTTGCCCAATCTCCATCGCGTTGCACTCCTGTCTCGCCGCCGCGCCTCCGTCTCTCCTGATCTCCACCGCCTCCATGAAATCGTCCTGGCGTGCCGTGCGCGCCCGCCGCGGACCACACGGGCCTCACCTCATACCGACTCCCCTTTCTGTTAAACACCCATTAATACCTTAGCTGCAGATGCCGAGCTGTCGGCCGCTTTCGCTCTCGTCGTCCTCCCCTGCGTGCGACCTACCAGTATACGCTTGATACATCCGGAGTCTTCCTTGTCTGTACGCCCGTCCGTCCGTCCGTCCGCGCCCTCGACTCGTGCCGTAACGCTGGTGTGCTTACTAGCCCAGCATGTCAAAGGAGCACCAGGGCCCCCCCGTCCCAGGCGCGCTCCAGCCGGGCGTCGCACGCGTTGGTAAGTATCTCATGCTCGACCTTCTCGGCGAGGGCGCTTTCGGTAAAGTACGACAGGCCGTCGATGAGAGCTCCGGGAAGCAGTACGCCATGAAGATTATGGCCAAGTCGCACATAAAGGCGAATGAGCTCACTCTGCAAGTGCGCCGTGAGATTGCTGTCATGAAGGCAATGCGACATCGTAAGTTTACACAGCGATTTCATGCTATTCGCGAGCTAGTCTCCGGGCAAGTTTTGTATCCTGTGTTGACTGACACCTCATCTTCCCGCTTGTTTTTTCAATCTACGCTTTGCTACTTGCTCCTCTTTAGCAAACATTGTTAACTTGCATGAAGTCCTGACTTCCACGAAAAACTTATACATGGTCATGGACCTTGTCACCGGCGGTGAGCTCTTTGACGCTGTCGCGGAGCAAGGGCGATTAAGCGAGGCGACCACACGTCTATACTTTCAACAGCTCGTCGACGGAATCCACTACTGCCACACGCGACGTGTCTTCCACCGCGATCTGAAGCCGGAAAACTTGTTGCTGTCCGGGGACAAGCAGACATTGAAGATTACCGATTTCGGCTTGTCTTCAATAAAAGCGCAGAACGCTTCATCCGAGCTGCTGCATACAATCATGGGCTCTCCACATTACATAGCGCCGGAAATTATCACATCGGCATCGGAAGGATACGAGGGCAGCAAAGTCGACGTCTGGGCCGCGGGGATCATTCTTTTCGGCATGCTTGCAGGCTTTTTGCCGTTTGATGAAGTCGATACGAAGGCCCTATACAGATCCATTGTCCACAGCCCTATTCAGTATCCTCCACATTTCTCTTACGACGTCATCAAGCTGTTACGCTCGATGTTACAAAAAGACCCCAATAGACGCCCATCCATGGAACAGGTCAAAGCTTTTGCCTGGTTCAAAGTGGACTACGAGCCGGCGGTGGTACCGGAAGCAAGTCCCCCCTCGAGCACTGGAGACAAGTCAAGGAAGTCTCGGTCGAAAGCGAAGCGAAGGCACGAGCAAGGGAAGAAAAATAAGGAGGACAAAGAAACAAGGAGATCAAGTCTGTCATCGTCTCAAAAGTCTGCGGATCGGCCGAGAAGCATGAAATCAATAGAAAGCACCCCGCGTCACAGCCGAGTGGCCTCGAGGCGCTCTTCAGGCCGCTCTTCGGGTCCTACGAGTGAGAAAAGCCGCGAAGGCAGTGTGTCCAGTGAGCAGCTTGTCGAAAAGGAGCAGACAAACCCTCATGAGGGTGTTCCTTCCCAACAGGAAATTCTGCCAATTCAACAAACTCGTGGAAACGAATCTGAATCCAGTACACAGGATCCACTTACTTTAACTGAAGAAGAACCCGTGACGGCACCAGACGAACTGCGGGTAAGATTCTCTGTACGGACAGACAGCCAGTATAGAATCAGTTCAAAAGATCTCTATTCGTTCAGCGAGCAACAAACCTCTTCGAAGAACACAAGCGAGGGAAATAGTCTGGCAATTGTGCAGAGTGGTCGAAGTGTTGCTTCGGAAGGCGGACCGTGTTCTTGGTTTTCAATGGCAGGATCGAGTGCTCATCAAACGGAAGACATATCACCGAAGGCCGAGCGCAACCTATTCGCACAAGTAGATGGTGCAAAGGGAGACGACTCATGTGTAGGACCAGAGCAGAGTGATGAGACTGGTCTGTTTGACGTGGATGATATACAGACTTCAGATGATCCACCGAGTAGCGGCGATGCCTTGGTCGACGAATCACCCCACGACTTACCTTCCCCTCTGACTCCTGCAGATAACAACTTTTCCCCGTTAAACTCTGAAAGCATTTCTTCGTTCAGAGAAGGGAAAAGACACGGGTCTCTACGAATCACAGGGAATGATATACCAACGGCTGAGTCCAAAATGAGTGAGTTTATCTCCCCGGTGTCTTTACAATCACAGTCTTCATTCAGTTCACCACAGACAAGGGATGCAAATACGTCAGGGATGCAGAGCTATCGTGAGCTGGTGCCGACGCTTTTCCAATCCGCAAAGTCTTTCGCACCCCTAACCTTGACCAGTCCTAACTCTACGACAACGGACATGGATCAGAACATTATTGAAGCGGACCAAGCATTTGCAGACGTCGAACCCGAAGACAAAAGAGATGCATCTGCGTCGCTCTTTGCTCTTGAAGAGTCGAGTTTCCAGTCAGCAGAGGAGGAAGAGGAGGAAGAAGATGCAATCTTTAAACCAATGAAATCGCTGTTTGCGGCCCTTGTCCGACAAAAATCAGAGACAAAACCAAGCATTGCCCCAAGTGTTTACTGCCCAGAAGTTGACAATGATGCTGAGAATGGCCCGCAATGGTGTGTAGATTCTGTTGAGGTCTTCGCAGATGTGGAAGTTGAGGACTGCAATAGGCAGTCAACGGGAAAGACGACACCTAGTCAAAAGCTATTGGAAATCTTAAGACAGACTCGAGCCCCACTGGTGGAAACCCCTGGGCTTTCTGAGAATGCGGCGTCGTTCTCGACCGCATCGCCGACTCCGATCTTTGCCCCACTGGACGACAAGCTCGCTCTAAAACTGTCGCCATCCGCAGAAGACAGTGAGTCGGCCCCAAGGGCGGTTCGAAACTTGCCCGTGCTCAGTCCAGAATAGCAGTATGTATATAAATTGTAGAATATTGCCGCATTATCAAGCGGCTCATCATGGAAAGGCAGACGTGCTTCCGTAGTGTAGAATGTTCCCGTAAAGCGTGGTCCTTTCCATGCATGACCAAACACAGTAGAGGAAAGCAACTGATTCCGGAGTCGAGTTAGTTTATTCAAGATATTTGATTCTTTCAAGTCAGCGAGATTTGTTCCTTCTATGCAAGTGTTTCGAAGCCCTTGCGAAGTCACAAGGACTGACTTGTCGAGGATTATCTCCCTATGAAACCAGCCGCTTCAGATTTCCGTACACCCTGTCGTGATAACTAGGGCCTTCGGGTCTACCTTGGGTACCGGGAGCGATGAGCAATTCCATATCGATGCGATTGCGGATTGCCAGATTCTCCGGGCCATCATCTGGAAAAGGCCCTGTAAAAAGGCATGGCTCCACTGTGCGAAGCAAAAAGTCTGTGGACGGACTTCTGGGTTTGTATCCTGGGAGGATGTGCTTGACAGCCCTGTCCAGGTCGTTAAAGTTAGTACAACGCAGCGACGTGGTGCGTATGAGCTTGATATTCTCTTCGCTAGCGGCGGCGGCAAGGGAGCCGAAAAAGTGCTCAAAGACATGACTGGCGTCCCCGAGGGACATGAGCAGGTGCTTAGATAGCATGGAGTCCGCGGCGATCTTGACGTAGCGACGATGCGCGACGAAGTGCTTATCAGTACGCAAGATCTCCGCGGTGCGTCGCCTATGGTCCGGGTGGTAGCTCTTAGTGGCCTCTAAGCCTTCTTCCAGGGTGAGGGAGCGGTTGAAGGACAATGAGTAATCGATATGAATGCGGCTGAGCTCCCCGTCGAAGAGCGGCAGCTGGGAAGTGTGGGTGAAGTGGAAGAAGGTGGCGGCGTCCAAATGGTCCCTCGCGAAACCGAGGAGGGTGCGCATTCGCTCGGCGGTAACGGTGGGGTAGTCGTTGGGGGTGCAGTGGATGTAGTAGTCGAAGGAGGGCTTGTCCGAGGCGAGCGCGTCCTCGCGATCGAGGAAGTAAGCCATGGCATCGAGGATGTTTATAGCTTCGGACACGCCGTCTGGGACGTAGGGTTCGGCACTGCGGATGTGGACGTTGCGGCCGGTGATGCGGGCGGATTTGGCACGGGGGTCGAGCGAGTGCGCAAAGGTCAGAAGGTAGAGGTTGGACGGGTGGTAGATGCGGAAAAAGAAGCGCTCTAGGAGGGGCAGCTGGGCTTCGTTGACGGAGATGTGAAAAGCGATGGTTGCGGGGGATGACGGGAATTGCTCCGGGTTGGCGATGCAGAGAACGGCGAGGAGCAAGACGTGGAGAGCGAGCAGAATCGGCGCAGACGCGCGAGGGCCTGACATGGCTCGCAGAGAGCGGCGGCACTTTTTTGCTTAGCCGTGGCCAGGGCAAGCAGACTCACGCATAATATTGAACAAGGGAAAGAGATGTTTTGATAGAAGACTAAGTGTGGTAAGCAAGGTGTAGAGAGCATCGCAACGGCATTGCTTCAGGTGATGGGTGCATACGTGTACAGGGAGCTGCGTGGACACGTCTTCGTGGCAGCGTGGACACGTCTTCCACCACTTGCGCGTATTCCACGTGTTCTCCTCCATTGCCAACTACTGTACAGATGAATGAAATATTTCGCATAGGACATTTGAAAAAGTAAGAATATTTCGCCGTCGACGTCCGCCAGAGCTCCAAGCGAATCCTTGTGTTGCCCATCGCCGTTACCCACTCGCTCCCGGGCATCCGTCAACCCTGCACCAACGATTGTATACGACCCGGCCGTTGTGCAAACCCCCTCCGCATTGGCCACATTCCGCCTGCAACCATGTCTCGTTTCTTCCACACGGGCGACGACTCGGACACTTCCTCGGAGTCATCGTCTTCTTCCAGCGACGACGACGTCGGCCCGTCCGGCGCCCGAACGACCGTGGGTGGCGTCACCCGCTCGCGCTTTCTGCAATCCGATTCCGACGACGATGACGTCAAGCGTATCTCGCGCTCCGCGAAGGATCGTCGTTTTGACGCTCTCGTCGCAATATCGAACGACGTCAAGAACCATATAAAGAATTCAGACTGGTCAAAACTACAAGAGGATTTTGATTCCCTTAATGACGCCCTTAAGAAGATCATGAAAACGGATATGGTGTCCGGGCGCAAGCCCCCAGTCCCAGAGATATACGTGCGCGCAATTATCACCATCGAGGACTTTGTGTCCTCCACACTGAAGGAAAAGCCCAAGCTCAGTAAGACCAATGCCACCAGTCTTAATCGCATGAAGCTCAAGGTCCCTAAGAACAGCCGCCAGTATAAGGCAGAGATCGACTCCCTCAAAGCTACTGGAAAGCCGACGTTGTATGACATGAACATGGACGATTCGTCAGACTCGGATAGTTCCGATGATGAAGGCTTCAAGAAAAAGGCACATGATTCGGATGACTCGGACTTTTCTAGCACTGATTCATCATCCGATTCCGACGACGGTGGTGGAAGGGGAGCTTCAATCTGGCTTAGGAAGGACAAGGTCACAGACTCTGCCGCCGAGACTAGCAAGTCAAGGAAGGTTAAAAAGGTCTCAGTAGCGAGAGATGACCCCGGGCTTGCAGATGATGCTGACGATGATGATGGTTTCACTGTTGTCACAAGAAAGCCCATTGTCCGAGAGGTCTTCAAACCCGAAGAGATGACTGAAGAGAGCGTTGACGCAAAGATGCTAGAGATTCTACAGGCACGTGGCCGTCGGGGGACGAATAAGCTTGAGCAAATCACCCTTATCGAGTCTCTTGTTCCGTGTTCGAAGAGCCCGCGCCAGCGCATTGAGATCATGCTTCATCTCATCTCTGCCAAGTTTGACGGTATTCCTGCTGCGAAGCTGTTCATGCCGGCTGAACTCTGGCGCTCTGCGATAGGGAACGCCAAGGATGTCATTGCCCTCGCTCGTGACAATTTCCCAGGTATTCGGTTTTCTGACGAAGCTGATCGCCAAGTTGAAGATGCAAGCATACTGCTGAAGGGGGCGGCCCTTGGTGGTGAAATTATTGATCCGACTGGAGAAGCCGTCGAGGGTACAGGTGCAAAGGGCGTCGCGAACGAGCAGGTGAAGAAAACAGAAGTTGATGCCGAAGGCCAAATCATAGTTCGCGGTGACATCGTCACTACGTTTGAACGCTTTGACGATGAACTATACCGAGCTTGGCAGCATACAGATGCGTACACACCAGAATATGTCGAGCGACTCAAGGACGAAACAGCTCTACTCGACCTTGCAGCTGATGTCCAGATTTACCTCGAGACGGCAGCTGATCGTGAAGAGGGAAGAGATGCTAGTGATGGAGTTAGACTTAATGCATTGCGGGCTCGAGCGGCTAGGGTGGCCGCCCGTCGCGTCACTCATATGTACTATAAGCCCGACGAACTCAACAACAAGGTTGAAGAACTCTGTGGGCGTAAGAACTCTGACAAGTCCTTAACTGAACTGGCCGTGCTGGTGTATCGATATGGCGATGAAAGAGCTAAGTCATTCACGATGCTTGCCCACATTTACAATCATGCGCTAGAGAACAGGTTTTTCGCCGCCCGCGACATGCTCTTGATGTCTCATCTCCAGGAGACGATTTTAGATGCAGATGTTCCTCTGCAAGTAATGTTCAATCGCACCATGACCCAAATGGGTCTGTGCGCATTCCGCATTGGGAAGCCCCGGGAAGCACATGCGTGTCTGCAAGAGCTGTGCTCACCTAGTTTTGGCGGGGGTGGAGGAGGGCTTGCGCGTATGAAGGAACTTCTTGCTCAAGGCATTACGCAACAGAGAGGATATGAGAAAACTCCCGACCAAGAGAAGGCGGAGGCGCGTCGCCAGATTCCTTACCATATGCACATCAACCTCGATTTCATTGAAACAGCGCATTTGACTTCCGCCATGCTGCTTGAAGTACCCGCCATGGCTCTGAGCAAAGCCCGTGGTGATGTGCGCCGCTATGCCATATCCAAGTCATTCCAGTACTTCTTGCGGAACTCTATGAAGCAGGCTTTCCCGGGTCCACCTGAAAACACACGTGACTTCGTTATGGCAGCAACGAGGTGCCTCATGCGGGGAGATTGGAATGGCGCGTACAACCATGTTCGGGGTGTGCGCTCCTGGAAGGCTTTGTCTTCGACCACGAGAACAGAAACTTTGGAGCGCCTCAAGGAACTTCTGAAAGTCGAAGCACTGAGGACGTTTTCACTGAGCTATTCCTCTTATTTCGAGTCTATGTCAACATCTCAGCTTTCACATCTCTTCGGTTTGCCAGATGCGAAGGTGCATTCTGTGCTTTCAAAGATGATAATTAACCAAGAGATGCGTGCTAGCTGGGACCAACCGACCGCCAGTATTGTGATGAGGAGGACAGAGCCAAGCCGGTTACAATCGCTCGCTCTGCAGTTAGCGTCTAAGGTGGCGAACATGACGGACAACAACGAAAAGTTAATGGACGCTAAGACTGGTGGCGGAGACCGTGGAGATAGAAAGGATGATGGTGACAGAAAGGGTGGTGACTGGAAGCAAAGCGGTCGCGGAATGCGTGGACGCTCCCGTCGAACGGGCGGCGGCGGCGGAAACAGCGATTTGAGAAACCGAGATGGTATGGACTCTAGATCAGGCAACAGATAAGCAAGTTTAGATGAGTATTGAACATAAATTCTCCTCTGAGGTTTTGCCATTGACAGCTATTATCACACGTTCCTACGGATGGATCTTCGGATCACTGTATGGGTTGCTTTGCTTGTTTGATCTTTGTCTCCGTCAAGGCGGAGGCACTGTTAGGTCAAGGGTGACTAGATGACTGAAGCAGTGGGAATTGGCTCGCATTCTGAATCAACGAAAGTGGGTGGTCCTGGACATAGTCTCATGCGTGCATGGCAGGCCGGCAGGCCTTTTGGCAGGCATTTGTTCTCCCTGTTGCATTTCACTTGGTTAAATGTGTTGCGTAGTGCGTTCGTAGGCTGAAAAGAAATCGGTATTGCTCTACATGCCGCCAGCGGTAGGCTAACAGTTCAAATACGAGTACCGGGCGGTCGCATGGAACAGTTCCGCCTTTTCATCTCAGCAACTTCGGGTACGGTTGCAGCCGCTGTCTTTTATTGCTTCTTACTAATACACCATTACAGCATAACGGAAAGGCCCGCACTATGTTTGAATCTTAGTGCACTCTCAATACCCATTCTTTGTGCAAGATTGGACTAAGGCCACAGCAAGGTACATTGCGGTTGCTGCTTTGCTCAGCTCCTTTGAAAATAAAGAAAGAGTATTACAGAAGCGCAATCCTAAATCGCCACCACACTTAGCAGCATTGTCTGGGCGCTGTCATCCCAAGTGGCCCGACAGACGGCAATTGTCACCTTTTATTCGCTGCAGTTATTGCCTTTCAGCATGTTTCTTGGAAACCGCTCTGTCGGAATCTTTTAGCAATAGTACATCTCGCAAAAAAAAAAGGATCTAGCCATGCTCTTTGTAGTCTCGGCAGAAGACGGGTTCACGCAATCTGTGCACATAGTGATGCGACTGCAGTACTGTGATGCTTATGTGTGCACCACGAACAACGCGAGCGACGCACGAGAACGGATGTAGATGACTGGGGCGGGGGCAAAAATGATACTCGAGTGGTATATATATATGCGTAGGGCCTCTTTCAATAACGCCCCATAACCGAGAACAATTGAAGCAGGGATGCAAATGACTGCACAGTACCAAAGCTGATGTTTGTCATGACTTCTGGAATGGGGTACTGACAGGTCATTCTTGAGCGCCGCATGCTCTGACGCATTGTCCGACCTTCGCTGTAAACGCTCTAGGGCATCTTGCATCTGGCGCTTTTGCCGCATAAGAAACATGTATGCCCTCGTGCTCTCAATTTACCCACTTAACCCTCGGGCCTGCGCAAGTGGATGCCCGTCGTCTAATATGTACGCTAGAAAGGAGCCTTCTGCCACCTTGTGGACTTTGAGGTGGCGGTTTTTGCCGGGCCACATTTTCAAGATGGGCATGGTGGCCACAAACATTGAGGGCACACATGACCAGGGCGCAAGTCAGCACACGGTCTCCGCAGGACTAACCGGCATGGCCGCGCGTTCTGGAGCAGGGCACTCTTATGGTACATCGAGGCCGGGACTTCGCATATTTGAGCCAAGTAAGAAGACCACTATTATTTCGTAATGCGTGATGGGCTTACAAGATGAGGTGAGGCTGAAAGAAACGAAAACATGCGTATCGCAAGGCCCCGGAAGCTAGTAAGGATAGGGCCATAGCGGTCTGCGTCCTTGCATGGCGCCATCTTGCGAAACCTAACATTTCTACTGAAGGAGGTCCTGTTGTATGAGTGCTTTGGGAATCGTTGGGACATATCTTTGCTATACATTCTCGTTCACCTCCTGGTCCGTGGGTGTATTTCAGATCGATCAAGAGCCGTCGTGTTCTTCTCCGAGTCGACTGCAACTGGCGAAACCGAAATCCCATCCACTGGACTCAACCTTCCTCACTCCCAACTGCGATTGAGAATGATTTTGAATTCTTTGTCAGACGCCAACTCAACGTTTTGTCCAGCTGCGTTTCAGGAGGTTAATGGCTTAACTATTGTAGTCCCGACCGAAGAAGAACCGGGAACCTTAACGAGCGATAAGCAATGTTTCCCACAGACGCCGCCTCCTTTCGATACAGACTCACAAAGTGATGACATTCTCCTAAGAGCACTGCAGTCACCTTTGCCAGCGTTGGGGCGAACCACGTTCGAACCTGTGACTCCTAATGAGGTCCTTAGCTACTTGAATTTTGCTTGTGGGGATTCTGACAGTGGGACCTTCAGCAAGCTCACGACAGAGTCGTCTTCTTCCAATGAACTGATCTCTTCAAAAACGCAATCCTGCGCAAGCGAGCAAAATGAAATTGCATATTCAGACCTCAGCGTCCAGGAAAAGGGAAAACTCACCGCTCATAGACCCAAGGTCTGCAGCAAAAGGAAAGCGAGCAGCTCAAAGTCGGTCTCGAAAAGAGGCAAGGTGACACAGCCGTCCAAGTTTTGCCATGTCTGCGTGCGCTCAGGGGAGCAAGTGACCCTTGCTCCTTGTGCGAATGTAATTGGGTCACTCTGCAGAAAGGCAATTTGTCAGAAATGCTTTGACAAACATGGTATCCGTCAAGAATGGACGTCAGCCTGTGAAAACAGGGAGATCATTCGTCAAATTCATGCAGGCATTCGCGATCGCCTCCCAGATAACGTATGGACTTGCCTTCATTGCAGGCAGAGTTGCCCGCAATCTGCGCAATGCAAAATATATGCGCGGACAAATAGGAGACGCCATATGATCCTCAAGCAACGAAAGGCTGCAAAGGACCAAACCGTGAAAAGACATTTAGAAAGAGGTCTCGAAATGCCGAGACCTCATCCAAGTGATATCCTGACAGGTCGACAAACGCTTGTGAGTGAGACCTCAATAATAGACAACAGAATTACGTCACCATTTCCTTCAAACCTGGATGTATCGATGGCACAACAGATATTCGCAACTGACTCCCTCACCACTGGCGAAAATATCGGCAGAATGATGGCTCCCTCCTCAACCGTTGGCATCCCCCACCCCCAAATGCATCCATATTTTAACCTTCGCAGGCAGTGAAGTTCCGTCACACCAGTTTCTCTAGAACACTTCCGGAAGATGGAAATGATAATAGAAGAACGCCCGGTTCGTTCTGGTGATAAGTATCGTAGTTTTCGGCGGCCCATCATGTTTGTTCGGCTGCCCCATCTCGCTGAATGGACGAATATCTTTCGACTCGAACTCTCGTTGCTACAGCAAACGAGCTGGTGAAAGATACACTATGCAAGTGTCTTCCTGAACACAATTGTGCTGTTCGTCCAAAGAGTTTTCGCTGTTGGTAGACTGCGAATAAACACAATCCTGTAATAGTTTTGTACACTAGCCCTGGTTACTGCTTGCTCCGACGTAGACCTCGAGAGAAATCTTCTGTCAAACCAGAGTTCAGCTCTACAGAAATACAATACTCTGTATCTCTAGTCGTAGTCGCATGGATCTCTTGGGATCTCTCGGGTTGGGCCATAAGTATTCCACACAGGCGGGGGGAAGGGGGGAAGGTGGGGGGGGTTATTGTTATTTTTTTTTTGGAGTTTTCGAAATGAAGCGCACATGTCACCGATTCAAGCCTGCCGTGAAACCGAAAGTCTCCTTTCACGCATCGACCCTTGACCGTTCCGTTTTCGGGTGAGATAAAATCGCCTCCAATCCCAAGAGACAAGCTGCAGTCTTCATGCGTGTGCAAGCCGTGGCTTGAAGCAACTTGTGCCAACATCCCAAGATGGACCCGTCCGACAGCCCGTGCGTGGCCGAAGAGACCGCGGCAAGCTACAGCGCGCGCTTTCAGACGCTCTTGTCCACTCTCAACGCCTCCACTGCATCAGTTGAGAAGACCTCTGACTTGTCTGCGCTACGAGATTCCCTGGCTGAGCTGAGGTCGCTGACAGCGGGAGGTGCGCAATGGTGGGTCGGATACGAGATGCGGCGCGCGCAAGAGGAGGTTCGTGCGGCAGCGGACGCTCTGGACGCGGCAGACAGGCGGCTTCAGCCGCGCAAAAGATTCCAGTTTGGCATGCGGGCGAGAAAAGCTGCAGTTCAGCCTGATGAAGAGTCAGGGGCAGACAAGAATGCGTTTAAGGCGGAACCGGATATCGCAACATCGCCTCCCACACATCCATTGTCAGGCTCGAAGTGTGTGGAGATTAACCGTGAGAGTCTGAAAGGATCCTCTCAAGTGTTGGTTTATCCCCGCGGCTCTGTTGAGGGGAAGGATGTGTTGCTCCATGATGTATGCGATGCCAGAGTGGTGATTTTGGACGTCGTAGGCGCTGTTCGCGCGAATAACTTGAAGAACTGTGAAGTGGTGGCCAGCGCAGTGGCTGGATCTGTCCATGTAACCGGGGCGCGAGGATGTAAATTTTGGCTGGCATGCCGGCAGGTGCGAATCCATGAGAGCGTAGACACGTCATTTTATCTCGATGTCAAGGGAAAGCCGATCGTAGAAAGCTGCGAAGGCGTGCGGTTTGGGGAAGGAAGAATACAGTCGAAAGGGTCGAGGGAGTTGCTCGAAATGGCAGGTTTAAAGGAGGAGAACAAGTGGCGCGAAGTACAGGACTTCAACTGGCTGCACGAAAGTCAAAGCCCGTATTGGAGCTTAATGGAGAAAGGTGGCGTCGTAGAGGTTTCGGAGGATGGAAATATTAAAATACTCGAGTAGATAGTGTTAAAGTCGTTGTCTCCGGAATTACCGGGACTTGCGTGGAACAGCCCCGGTCGCTTTCACTGGAGTGAAAGGTAAAGGGATTGCTTAATCCATGCGGCATCTTTTCCGGAATAGGTGGCTATTTCTGTAAACGATTTGTCGAGGAGCAATTCACAGAAGATGAGGAGTTGATGGAGCGGAATATTACGGCAATGCGAAAGGGTGTATGGCATGGCCGCAAACGAAGCCGCAAGCTCTGCATGGTCTACTCATGCTTGGGGCGGATTGCCTGAGCCGTGAACTTTAAGTCTTCGAAAGCATTCTTGATGCTTTAGATGCATCAAGAATGCTTTCAAAGACGGTCTACCTCACGAGAGGTGCTGTGTGCAGTGCATTGATCTTGGGTAATCGGGATTTTTGCTACGGCCGCAATCGGGATCTAGTGACGCCTGTTGACAGGAGTGACATCACTCTTCTCCCTTGCCGATCTAGCTGGAGTCCCGAGCAGCATTCGTCAAGCGCTTCCGTCCCCGCACGAAACCACCTTCCCCCGTCCGCACCGCCATGCCAGCGCCGCCACCTCTCTCCCGCCGCGCGGGGCCCCGCCCCGCTCCGCCGGCGGCGCCACCCGCGAACAATCTGCGGCAAGCGTCGGACTCGTCCGGCCCCAACGCGGGCGGCTCGCGCAAGCGCGTGCGCGAGACGCGCGCGCCCAACGCGAACGGCGTCCCGGCCGCAGAGGCCATCATGCGCGACGACGATGACGAGTATTTCGATGTCGATATGGACTCCCAGGAGGCCTTTGACCAGCTCGAGTACGGCAGGCCCAACGAGGCCCCCGTCAACGACGGCCTTTTTGTCCCGTATTACCCCCACCTGGGCAACAAGGACTTCGACGATGAGTAGGTTCCGCCGCTTCTGTTTTTGGTCAGGGGCCTTCCTTGCACCGCCCGAATACTGACCGACTTTTCTGCGCGTTGGGAGTAGTGACTTGAACTGATACGGCGCAGTCGAGGACATCGACCTGGAAGTGGAGTATATCAATCCATGCCGACTGGCGCATAGAAGCGTACTAGTCGCTTTCAGGACTCTATCTCAAACTTGACACCTTTTCTCCATTTCTCGGGGAAATTTAACTGCACCCCGTTTTGCAACTTTACGCTGACGACCTTTCTCACAACACTGGCATTCAGCACAACAGGCGACAATAGTAGGTGTGTTTACTGAGTTACAAATTGTTTCGTCATATGGTAAAGGCGATGATCACGGAAGCTGTCCGCATGCCCTGACGGCCGATTCGATCATTTCGTCCAGCTTCGTCCAGCGAGAGTCAAACGTCGGCGAGCAGCCCTTTTACACACCTTCCCACCTGCTATCGACCAACCCCCAAGCCCGTGCGTTTGGAGCGTTGTTGGGGTTCGAGAGGTTCCGTCATACCCTCTTTGTTCGTGCCTAGCCCCTCTCCTTGTTTCCACCCCATCTTCTCCAGCATCGCGAATCCTCGATTCGAACTTGCCAAGGGCCGAGCACTTGGTCCCGCTTGGCTCGCCTTCCGTCTGCGTTGCTCGCCGCCGCGTAAAGCCGCGTGCGTAGCATATCCGTCTACCAGCTGATACGTGCCCGGATCCCACCGCTCGAAAAACGGATGTGCGTCTGGGTACCCAGGCCCATACTCCGAAGGAAGGGGAACTCCATTCCGCACAGGATCATTTTGCTCGGGCACCTCGATCATTTTCCCTGCCATCGTCTGCCTCTTCGCTTTCCTCTTCGCCTTCTTATTCGCCTTCTTCTTCGCCTTCTTCTTCGCCTTCTTCTCCTTCTTCCTTTGCCCCGGTGCCTTCGCCCCATCATAACACATCAGATTCGGCTGCAACATTTCTTGCCAATACTTTTCTACCGCCTCATCTACCACCACATCCGTGCCCTTGTCCGCCACCCTCGTTGCTGCCTCTAGCCTCTCCTCTTTCCTTCTCGCTTTACGAGCCTCTCTCCTGGCTTTCTTAACCGTGGCATTGCCTTTCCTCCCCTTTGCGCAGTCGATGAACAGGCCCACAAGCACGACGCGCACGGCCAGAATAACAGAGAGCTCACCGATAGGAAAGACGCCGTCCTTCGTCCACGTCAGCACGACTTGCCGCTCCCTTCCCTTGCCGTTCGACACGGAGCGGCACCCTAGCACCTCCGCGGCGCGATGCATTGCCAGACGAGTCTTCGAACCGCACATGGGGGGACAGGTGTATGTCGTCGAGGGCGCAGGGTTCAATTTGAAGTGGCGGTACGCGAACAGGGCGTGCGCTTCGACGAGCGCCCAGTTGGCGCGCATGGAGAGCGGGCATGCCTCAGGCGGACACGCCTCAAACGCGGGCAGAGGCCGAGGGGTAGGCGAAGCTTGTTCACGGGGTCGGGATACCACAACGGCAGCGGCGTCAGATCTTGAGGGATGAATTTGTGCAGTGGAGGGTGTGACCGGCACCACCCGTGGCGAAAGATCAGACGTGACACCCATCTCTTCCTTTTCGGCGCTTGCGGGTGGCACTGGTATTCGTGCCTCTCGTTTCGGTGCGGCTGATGACGGTGGAGATAACTTTGTCTCATCGGATTGCTCGGCGCACTCAGTCGGCCTGTCCTCCCCAACCTCGGATGCAATGTCACTCTCCATGTCCCCTCCTTCGGATGCGAGTCGGCATCCAAAATCCTTGAAGCGCGCATCTTCCGCCGCATGAACTCCTTCTCCGTCCAAATCCCCCTGCGCTATGCCTTGCCGTCCACCCATCGCCGGAGGGCTTTCACACAGGCTCCAATCCGGATAATGCCCGTTGTGCTCGAAATCCGACACCCGCAGCGCCCGCAGCAAGTCCAGAGTCCCTTCCCCCGGGTCATCTTGATCGACGATTCGAAGCGCCTCGGTTAGCAAATTCTGGTAATAGTCATCGCACACGTCGCTTGAAGGCGGCGCTTCCCCCTCGCTCTCTGACGTAAACATGGCGGGCGCGCGCGCTGTGTCAAGGAGCGCTACAAACGGCGGCACGGCCGGTGGTGCGAGCGCGGCATACTGGTTTGGGTGTCTACTTCGGAGTGGGATCGTGTGAAGGGCGGAAAAAGGTTGTGGCCCAAAGCTTGCAGCTTCCTCTGTCTCCCGACTGTAAACAAGGTTGCATCTACCCATTCACAAACGTCCACGCCAAGTAGACACGAGTTCCAGCAATGCATGCCACACACATCTAGGACCGAAATTCGACAGCTCGCGGGGGCTCGCTCGTCTTGTTCATTACTCACATGAACAGCTGAGATTAAATTCTCTGCACATCCAGTACTCAATGTTTTCCGCGAGTTACGGGGCTATGGTGCCACGCGCTGTGTTACGGATATCGGCTGGCTCTGTTGGCAGCTCTGCTAATCCGACGAGGGATGTGTTTTGACTGCGTGGCGCGGACGTTTCCGCGTGCACCGAACAACTTCAACATCTATAGAACAATACGCCGCCTGCAGCACTCGGGACAAGCTTGTAAATTCGCTGCTGTGCAGAACGGGACTACCGGCTGCCCATTTGCATGTACCACTGTGTGTGGTACCCTTGCAACCAAGGGTACTGCCACACAGATGGCCCACAAAACGGCGCAATGACCTGCGAACCCCACACCCAATTGTCAATACGCAAGTGTACCAATGGTAACTACTTTTTCTGATTTTGACCCAATCCAGTCACAACAGGCAGGGTACAGTACCAGCTACTGTTTTCGATAACAAAAATAATTTAATTCAATCTAATAAATCATAAATCTCCGGCAGCACATCTTGCTTACCATTCTCCTCACTTGCAGCCGCTAACCTCCAGTACCGCCCCTTGCCCGCCCGTCTGCGCCGAACCCGACCTTCAGAAACACCCTCACTTCTTTGTCGCTTGCGCTCGTGGCGTAGGGGCCGGCGTCCGAGGGCGTGCAGTCGGCGAGTAGTCGGCGATGCTTGTGTCCCGCCCCCTCGCGTCAGCCAATTGTTCTGTCGGTCGCGCCAGTCACCACCCTCGCCAAGATCCAGCGGAGCAGCCACCGAGGAAGCAATCTTTTGCCGCTTGGCCTGCCTCATATCCGATGCGTCCACCAATGTCGACGACCCCGCAGGCGCGCTCAGTTCCCCATTGCTCTGGCGTCGGCACTGCAAGTCGTTCATCCTTTTGATGTTCGACAGCCGCAATTTTTCTTGCCAATGTTCCTCAAAGGAAAACTTTGCGCTCTGCGGAGGGGAATCGACGACTGAAGCGACATCGTCTTGCCGCTGTCGCTTGCCCAGGAGGGTGGAATTGCGCCCCATTTCCTCCCATGCGCTACCCCTCGCAGGCATCCTCGGAGGCATGGGTCGTTGCACAGGCTCTTCGCGTACCATTTTCACCTCGTTGCCCCATCTGTCAATTTCCACCGAGACGGTCCACCGCCATCCCGCATCACAGCTCACCGGGTCACTTTCCACCTCGTCTTCTTCCACGGCAGGCCGAACCGCGAATGCCGAAGAAACCGGGGAGACATAGCGGGCAGCGGATCCCGGAGACTCCAAGCTCTGTGCATGCCCTGGCTTCCGCACGAGACGCGATGCTGTTGGCAGAGCCTTGGCCTCTTGCGCGGGCTCATCCTCATCGGTGACCAAATCCACGACGGGGATGGGCTGCAAGCGGGATGAGAGTGGGGATGGGGTCGAGTACCGGAAGGGGTGACCGAAGATATCTACGGGCACCTGGAGCAGGTCGCGATGAGCGATGCTTTCCATGTATTGCACCTGTCGTGCTTCTGCCGGGAGTGCAGGTGATCGCGGGTATGGCTCTTCACGTGCGTCGGTATGCCCCCAACCGTTTTCGTGGTAATAGTCAGAAGGGGGCAGCACGATGTTGGGGATCGGGAGAGCGGGATCGAAGTTTTCAGGATCGACAACGATTTCATCCCCATTGGGGCTGCTGCACGAGGCGGGTGCATAGGCGGATTCCTGGAGACTGAAAGAAAGAGTCGAACCATCCAGCAGGGAGCGATTAAGAGCTGCTGGAGGTGTGGTGGGACCTTGAAGGCGACCAAGTTGGGAGGGGGCAGTAATTCCATGCGTGGGAGTCTCCTCGTAAACGGAGAAACCCGATGACGGCGACGACTTGATGTTTTCGGAGAGGAGATGGATGAAGTCTCCGTAGACGGGAGGTTGGCGGGGTTGACTAGGTCTTGCGCGATGTGCGTACGGCATGAGGGGGTTGCGGCGCAAAGGAAGAGGGGCGAATGTTTGGCTGGGCCGCTCATTTTTGGTAGAGGATGAAGAGGGGAAAGGTTTGGGATGGTCAGGGAGGTCGGGAGAGTGGGGCTGGTCGGCGATGGCATTGTTCGGGTTGGGGGCGGTGCGTTGTTCATTTCTCGGAGTGGATGTGTTGGCGTTCATTGTCGGGATCGTGGGAGTTGATGCTTGTGGATTTCGCGAGTGTGAAAAAGTGGTGGGGGGCGGCTGGTTGAGGGGAGGTGGGGCGAGGGGGAGGTCGGTGGGGCATGAACGGGAAGTGGAAAGGCTTAAGAAGAATGGGCAAGATAGGGACGCTGGTGTCAGTCAATGGGGTGAAGTGAATGGTGGAAGGTGAAGCATTCAGCGAGGCAAGTAGAGGGGGGGGAGAGTGACAGATGAGAGTGTCGCAATATTTGCGAAGGATGAAAGCAATACCATTTTCTACAGGCTTCTTCTGAGGAAGGCAGTACGTCTGTGACGAATCAGCAATAAATTGACCATACTGTGGGACACAACGACGACGACCAGTTCATCGCAACCTCACGCCAATCGAACATCACCTTCGAGAAGCGCTCGCTCCTATCGAATATACGAGTATGACTGAACAAAATAATACACAAATGTACATCATGCTATCCATGAAAAGATGATACAACCATTATCCACTGATAGACAATTGATAGACAAATGATCGACTCGTAGGATAATCTCAGTGATGTTTTGGAGTGGCAATCTGTCAGTAGAATGCAAGTATCGAATGCATACTCTCCCCTGAAACCACACTTAAAGCTCTCTTCCTCTAGAATACTTGGATTTCGTTAATTGTAGAATGGGGCTGCCCACCTCTTACGGATTGCTTTACGTATGCGTGAACAGATGGTTGTCATTTAGGAGATTACGACAACAGAGACACCAGCCACAATACTGACAAGAGAAGTTGCAATTCCAACTTCTTCGATTAAATAGAACTTTCCAGTAACCCGTCCCCGGCCTTTTTCTGCCACATATTTTTATCCGTCTGTCCCATTTCTATTTCTCAGTTCTCACTCGGCCGTCACCTCATGTTCTTAGTCACTATGGCCATTGGTATCTCCACCTGTCACCTGTGTGCTGCAAGCCACCTTAACATAAAAATGCTAGTATATAAAGATCGACAAGGATTGTGGTGTGTGGCGGAGGAGCTTTTTGCGTTGGCTAAGATTTTGCGGGTGCTCCTGCTCCGTGCGGAATGTTTAAAAAGATCGGGAAATTTTACCCATTCACAACCTCCCACGTGGATGTGACTCTAACACGGCATTTCTATTGGAGCGCTGTTCTTGACATAGATCGATGCACGGAATGAGTTGCCAATCACATGCATATGATCTTTGCATACCGCCTCTGTAGACGTCTTCGTTTGCGGATCTGATCGCCCCGCTCACCACTCTCGAACCTCTTCACATCCTCGATTCCCGTCACCGCCGAGTCTCGAACGCATTCTCAACTTCTCTGCCGGGGATGACACGGAAAGCCATAGTTCCGAAACACTCTAGAAACACAAACACAACACAGGATCCATTCCTTTTCTCCACGCCTCGGATTAATCTCCCTAATAAGGTACTACCGCTACGATACATCAAGCAATGCCATTGCAATTCTCTTACAGTACTCCGTGACTACAGTAATCATCAAAAACAATCAAAGCACACAAATAATAACAACTTTTAATTTAGTTTCATCAGACATATCATAAATATCCAGCAGCGCATCCAATTGTCGCAACTGCAGTCGTCCATGGATGAAACTTGAAATTTCCGGAGGAGAGAATCGATGATTGAGGTGCCATCGATGTCTTCCCGGCGGCGCTTGCCCAAGACGGTGTACTTGTGGTCCACTTCACTCCATTCGTCCAAGCTCGCACTCTTCGTCGGAGGCGCAGGGTCCGGCGATTCCAGGCTATGTGTTTGCGCTGGATCGAGCGGGGGATGCGATAGAAATCCAGGAGCCTCGAGCTGTTGTGTTGGCTCGTCATCATCGGTGACAAAATCAACATCGGGAAGACGCTGGAGGTTGGGCGGGGGCAAAGGCAGGAGCGAGTCCGGGACGAGATGGGCAATTCCACCTGCGGGCATCTCGAAAAAAGTGAGGCTTGCGACGCTTTCCATGTGCTAGTGGACGACAGAGGAAGAGCATGACGAGAGAGACCAAGATGATGACGAGGACGAAGAGGAGGAGGGGGAGGATTCGGAGTAGTTGGGGAGGTCGGGAGAGTGGGAATGTTCGGCGATGGCGGTGTTTGGGTGGGGGCTGGTGCCCTGTTCACATGTCGAAGAGGATGTGTTGGAGTGCATGCTTGTGATCGTAGGAGTTGAGGCTTGGGGATATTGCGAGTGCAACAGAATGGTTGTGCTCGTCTAGTTGAAGGGAGGTGAGGCGGGGGGATCGGAAGAGCATGGATGGAAACTGGAAAGGCTTAAACAGAATCAGTGAGACCGGACAGCGGTGTCGGTCGATGGGCCGAAGGAAATTGGTGAGAGATTGGAGAATATGGAAGGGAAGGGGAGCGGGCCAAGATAATATGGATGCGAGAAGGCGTCATAGGAAATTGAAGTGTAGGATTAATTTCACAGAGCAAACCAGTGTCAGTTGTTCCACCGGTTACTTTCAGGGAAGGCTATGTTTTGGGGCAGAATCTGCAACAATGGCACACACTGAAGGCATGGAACCTCATCAGCTCATCGAAATCTCACAGCAATCGAAATATATTTCCTGAAAATCTCCATCGAATCAAGTAGGATGCACCTTTCTCAAAAAGCAGTATAGTATGAATGCGTGTATACGCATGAGACTATTTTACTACTGTGTCTGGATGATTCGAACTTCAGGCCCTGCCATAGCTTTGGGTCGAAGACGGTACACGATGCACTGTACACGTATCTGAAGAAGGTTGCTTTGATTTTCAAAATGTTCTCAACAGGCGTCGCCAAGAGCATGAATTGGCGAGTACGTAAAACAGAACGTGATACGGTCGTGATACGGTCTCACTGGAGCGATGTGGGACGTTGTCAAGGAGCTCCCGAAGTTATTTGTTTCAGCAGACGCATTGCTGTTCACGGAGAACACACCCAATCGCCAGTCGACGAATGCGCCAATAATATTATTGATATTCTGAATAAATCGTCACCCAATCATTATGTTACAGCAGGGTAACATTCCGAGACTACCGTACATACCGTACAATCTCGATGTCTCGTCGGCGTCCCCCTTCCGCTTAGGCTTCGATGTCTCAGCCCTGCAGGCACTCAGATTCCTCCGAGGGACGCCATATCAATCCGGGGAGAAGGGTGTGACTCATCTCATTAAGCTTCTTCCCCCATGGAGTTGGCAACAACCGTTGTTGTACGTAGGAGCAAATTTTTGCATGGAGAATACACCCAATTGCCAATCGACAAATGCACCAATAATAATAATATGTTTAATAAATAGTCACCCAATCGTGATGTTACAGCAGGGTCCAGCTCGCTCTTAGATTACACTTCGCGAAGTAGCCAGCTCAACCGTTGTCCCCCTCCTCCTTAGGCTTCGATGTCGCAGCCCCGCAGCATCCTAACTTCCT